AGATGACTCAAGAGACGCCCTGGAAGAGCTCATGATCAGAGAGCAATTCATGATAACGTGTCCGGCTGAGCTCAGGCTATTTCTGAAGGAGAGGAAACTATCATCGCTAGAAGAGATGACCGAGACGGCTCAACAGTACCTGGAGGCAAGGAATCGAACTTTGTACGATCTTGAAAGAAAGTCTTCATGGAATGACACCAAAGCGCGGTACGCAAAAGAGTCGAGTAAGGTTAGTTCGGTGCGATCGGCATCAGCCTTACAGGTGAACTCAAGAGTCGGGCGGCCTAGATGCTCATTCTGTGAACAGTCACATGAATCGGAGACGTGTCCAGAAGTGGAAAGGATGAGCATCGACGACCGACGTAAACGGCTGCTCACTTCTGGGTCTTGCTTTCTTTGCCTACGTCCGAGGCATATCGCCAGCACCTGCGAACTCCAGAAGACATGCGGCAAGTGTCAGCGCAAACATCATGAGCTGCTCTGCTTTGAACCTGAATCTAAAGCCGCAGGAAGTCCCGCCAAGGTACTAGCGGCTCGGTCGCATATCCAAGAGAGCACGGCTGTGGCATTACAGACCGCTCGCGTTGTTGCTCTCGGTCCAGCGGGTACCGAGTGCGCCCGGGTGCTGATAGACTCAGGCTCTAACCAGTCGTTCATTACAAAGAAGCTGGCCACGAAGTTGGGTTGTGAGAAGATCGGAGAACAAGACACAAATGTATCGACGTTTGGCGGCGCTGATAAGTGCTATAAATCCATGAAGAAAGTGGCAGTCACATTGAAGAAGGTGGAAGACACTTCAGATAATATCCTCACGATAAATGTGGCAGAGATCGAAGCAATATGTGCCCCTGTAAACACAAACCTCAAAATACAGGAAGAGGATATGACCCATCTGAAGGAACTGCAGCTGGCCGACCCACCGGAACTTTGGAAGGAAGGTCAAGAGATAGACTTACTGCTGGGCATGGATGTATATCAAGATGTCATGACGGGAAGGATCCGTAAAAACAAGTCGGGCCCAATCGCGATGGAATCCATTTTCGGGTGGATTTTGGGAGGCCGGCTCCATTCTTCTGAGGAAGAAACGAAACAAGTCTTCTTTCTGCAAACGGCAAGCAACACAAGTGATGAACTCGAGCGGCTCTGGGACTTAGAATCCATTGGCATCAGAAGCCCATCGTTTGCAAGTTCGTGTGAAGAAAAACAAACTCGAGAAGAGGAGGCGGTGGCTCATTTTGAAACCACGTGCACGCGTCTTGACGACGGTCGATACGAGGTCCGTTGGCCCAAGAATGAAAACTTCGCCGACCTTTCTGAGGATGACAGTCTCGCACGAGCACGCCTAGAGCGTTGTGAGAAGACGTTAGAGCGCAGCGGACGACTACCGGAGTACAGTCAGGCTCTCATGCAATACATAGACGAGGGCTACGCAGAGAGAGCCCCCGCCGAGCCTGACGGTCCGGTACATGTTCTATCACACCATGCTGTGCGCAAAAATGGGAAGATCAGAATCGTGTTTGACGCATCCGCCGGGGAGCCCCACTCTCTCAACAACTGTGTTCTTCCCGGGCCAAATCTGATCACAGATCTTGCTGGAATACTGCTGCGTTTCCGGCTCTATCAAGTCGCCGTGTCAGCGGACATTGAGAAGGCCTTTTTGCAAATAAGTCTGCATCCACAAGACCGAGATGTGACTCGATTTTTGTGGCGAGTAACCCCGGGAGAAGAACCATCCGTATTTCGGATGACACGTGTCATCTTTGGGGTCAGCGCGTCGCCATTTCTTCTCCAAGCGACCATCAAGCGACACTTGAGTCAGTACAGTGACGTCTGGAGTTCATCGGCTTTGCGGTTGAGCACTGATCTGTACTGCGACGACCTGCTCACCAGTCTGAAAACCGAGGAGGAGGCGGAAAACTTCATCCAGGAAACGAAACAGATTTTTTGCGAAGCGAAGATGAACATGCGAAAATGGGCTAGCAACAAAGCTCTGTCAGGAGTAAGGGATGCTGACTGCAGTAGCCCAGTCTCCCTTCTTGACGGCGGGTCAAATGAGAAGAAGGTCCTGGGAGTGTTGTGGGCGAGAGCAGACGACAGCCTTAGGTTCGATCCCAGTTCTCTGATGCTGTTGAGCGACTCTCTGCGTCCCACAAAACGGAACATTCTGCGGATCTCAGCCAGGATTTTCGATCCCTTGGGCTTACTGACTCCGTTCACCGTCCGACCGAAGCTGATGCTGAAGCAGCTATGGATACATGGACGAGGGTGGGATGATACGATGAATCAAGAGGTGCAGCGACTTTGGCTCGCTTGGAAGAAGGAACTTCAGGAGCTTGAGAAGATCTGTTTTCCAAGACCGTACGACTCAGAGAACATTGGCTCCTTTCAGATTCATACTTTCTGCGACGCGAGCCAAGAAGCCTACGCCGCCGCCGTGTACCTGCGGCCAAGTGGTGACTGTCCACGCAAGAGCAGACTTGTGATGTCAAAGAGCAGACTGGCGCCAACCAAGCCGATGTGTCTGGCGCGTTTGGAGCTAATGGCGGCAGTCATCGGAGCCCGACTCACAGAATACGTCATCATGTCTCTGGGGATCCAACCTGAAGCGGTGCACTTGTGGTCTGACTCCGAAGTAGCGCTCGCTTGGATACGAAGTGACCCACGTCGGTGGGGGACCTTCGTGTCCAACCGGGTGACCGAGGTGCAACAAAAGTTCCCACCGGAGACCTGGCGTCACTGCCCTGGCCAGAGCAACCCAGCGGATTTGCCTTCCAGGGGCGCCTCCGTGACGAAGATGCAAGATGAGCTGTGGCAGAATGGCCCGACATGGCTGGAGCAACCCGAAACAGAGTGGCCCCCGAGCTACCGGGTTTCTGAGCCACGAGAATGTCTCAGTGAAGTAAGGGGCACGATAGTACCAGTCATGCTATCAAGAGCACACGCTCACCCGGACGGGAACGGTGGTCTGAAAAACGTGATTGACATCAGCAGGTTTAGCACCTTGGCTAAACTACATCGAGTTACGGCATGGGTGCTAAGATGGAGTGCGGTGTGTACGGGTCTAACAGAGCGGCAGGAAAGCTTATCTCCAGAGGAGATCCAACGAGCGGAAACGATCTGGCTCAAAGAAGTGCAGAAAGATGCGTACGCCGCCGAGCTCACGGCACTACAATCAGGGAATGGAGTCGACAAGAAGTCAAGGATCTTCAACTTGAATCCATTCCTGGACACCGATCAGCTGATGAAAGTGCGAGGACGAATACAGCTGGCTGAACTCACCCAGGAAGAGAAACATCCAGTGATCATTCCCGCGGAGCACAAGTATGTGGAATTGTTGGTACTCGACCGCCATCAAACATCATGCCATGGCGGCGTACAACAAACACTCCATGCACTCAGAGAAAGGTTCTGGATCCCATGTGGCCGGAAACTCGTGAGAAAGCTGATTCGGGGCTGCAGCAGATGCAAGGTGTTTTCTGCAGAACCGTTCAGTGAAGAGGCTGCTCCGCTCCCCAGGGAGAGAGTGACAACGAGACCACCATTCTCCGCTGTAGGTGTAGATATAGCAGGCCCCATCTATCGAAAAGGTCCTGGATCGATTCCCGTGAAAGTGTGGCTAGTTCTTTTCACCTGCACTGTTGTTAGGGCGGTACATCTGGAGCTGGTAGATTCTCTGTCGACAGACGACTTCATGAAAGCGTACGAACGGTTTGCAGCACGACGAGGGAAGCCTGAAGTGATATTCAGCGACAATGGACTGAACTTCAAAGGGGCGTCACCTATCTTGGCCACGAGAGGAATCAAGTGGAAGTTTAGTGCACAGCGAGCCCCGTGGTGGGGTGGATTCTGGGAAAGGCTGATACGCATGACGAAGGACGCTCTGCGTCGAACTCTAAGAAGAAGCCTCCTCACGTGGGAAGAATTGAGCACTGTGCTGTGTCAAATAGAGGCAGCCATCAACGCGAGACCCCTGACGGCCCTTACTGATGACCCTGAGGACGTCCGTCCTCTGTCTCCGCAAGACTTCCTGCATGGCAACTCTGCAGGCGATGAAACTGGTCTCCATGATGCTGACCTCTCTTCTATCGGCGGCCAGCGTCTCAGGGCTGGAAGAAAATACCGGCAACAAGTTCTTCAGCATCTGTGGAACAGATGGAAGACTGAGTATTTGAAGGAGCTACGTCTACCTCCTCGTCCGGAGACCGGCCAACGTAAACCCGCGGAACACGACCTGGTGCTCATTGGAGACAATCCACGCTCTTCACGTGCCTTGTGGAGAACAGGGATCATCGTCGAGCTACACCACGGCCGAGATGCCCGAGTGCGTGCCGCCTCCGTTCGCACCGTGGATGGCATCGTCGTGCGACCCATCCAGCGGCTTCATCTGTTGGAGGGCAGGATAGGTTAGAGGTGAGACGTGTGTCTCACGGGGGGAGGGTGTTACGTGCCGCAGATGATGATACTGAATTTGAGCACGTGCAGCGGTATGATCAAAGAAAAATGAGTGTGAGCTGAGAAAAATGGTGACAGAAAAATATAGATTGACCTGGATCGGAACAATGAATTGATTTTCTGATAATAGCAAGGCCATATATATAGGGATTATAGTTTTAATACCACTGATTTGATTTTAACGTAACCTGACGTGATGCATCCTTGATAACAAATCAAAGCCAATATTAAAGATAAAATCAGGCAGCCGCCACTTGCAACAATGACGATTGAAGATCAATTTTCAAGCTGACCTGTAAGGACTAAATTAAAGTTTATTTGACGCGTCTCGACAACAGAACTCTAGTCTTCACTTGGACAGCTTCAGAATGTGTTTAAGCTCTTTGATTTTTCTCGTATTCGCAAGCCGTAGTCCGTAGACTTCAATGCCTACGATAAGGCCAGGGTAGCGATAAGGCCGTTTTCGAGGTGCGTGCATTTGGAAAGGCTCGTGCTCTGTCCATCGCTGAAAAATAATAAAATCTACACATTTCAATTTATGATTGGAAAGCACTTAATGTTTCGAGTTATTTTGTAAGGTCTTTAAAATATTCCGGGTTTTACGTTACCTTTAATTACGGCCAATGGAGTGCACCGACCATTTCCGAGTGTTGTGAAAGCTGTTGGAAATAGTGTGCTGCTGATGGCCGATTTAAAATGCTATTTGGTCGCGGTTGTTGAAGAAGACGGTGAGATTAAAAAGACTGAAGAAATACTATATCGCTGAACATGCCCACCAACAGCCAGGCAAATACCGTGAGTATAATAGGGCCTGTTTGGGAGGATTTTATAGCAATGAGGCTCGAGCGTGAGCTGCTCGAGAAATGAAAAAAGATTTTTACTAGAAATACAGGAGTCAACATGAAGTGTTAAGAGTGTTTAAACCGTTATTAAGTACTTAGCAATTTAAGCTGGTTTATTTATTAAGTATCACATTTATTTAAGATTTAAGATTACAAAACACAACGCGAGGATAGCAAAACTATAATAACATCTGGTGCATGTGACTCCGGATATGGGAAAATCGCGCAAAGCCGGCAATTCAAGCGCTGGCGTAGCCGTTGAAGAAATCATGGAGAGCCAGATTGTGGAAAGTAAAATGAAGAAGAAGCAAAGAATACTGAAGGAGATTCGAATGAATGAATCAGGGCCTCGTCTAACATGTTAACTGGTGGGCCAAATGGCCCACCAGTGATCCGAAATGGCCCACCAGCCTCAACGTTTTGGCCCACCAGTAATTTTCCGAAAAATTTAAGTTTTCACATTTTTCACATTTCAAATTGAAATAGCAGATCTTATCGTACATTTTCAGGCTGTAAAGTACCCATTGGTGAAACATATTCTTGTGAAGAAAAAAAACTTCAACCTATTGTTTGCAATATCCTCTTGGGGTAAAAAGTGAACTATAGTGGACTACGTGGACTAAGCCTCGGTCACACTTCACCGGATTGGACCAATGGACGAGAAACGGACGGCGTCCGGTGATGTCCGGGGGATGTCCGTTCGTTTCCGTTGGACGTCCGTTTCTCATCTGTTAATATCTGTTCCATGTCCGGTGGTGTCCGGTGTGCTCAACCGGACACCACCGGACATAGAACGGATATTAACGGATGACAAACAGACGTCCAACGGAAACAAACGGACATCACCGGACGCTGACAGTTATCGTCTGTTTCTCGTCCGTTGGTCCAATCCGGTGAAGTGTGACCGAGGCTTTAAATTTTATGCAATAATCGCGAAAGACGTCTGCCTCTGTCAATTACAGATAGTGTCGGCGGCTTCCAGCCGATCGAGGTCTGCGAGAGTTCTTGCAAGCTTTCCGATCGATCGAGTGGTTGCAGTCACACAAGCATCTGCCGCAGACCAGTCGGTTACAAGAAAAACTACGAATAAAGAACAGACCAGTTCAGACGGTCGGGGATAAGCCTGCGAGCGATCTCAGACGGCTCGCCGATAGACACGATATAAGCCAGAGTCAAACTAGAGGTAGTGTCGGCGACTTCCAGCCGATTGAAGTCTGCAAGCGACATTATGCGTCTTCACGACCGGTATGATGCTTGCAGTCACACATCTGACCAGTTGGACGAATTTCGAACCGTTCACAGTCAGCGTTCCAAAAATTTCTCATTTGGGCTGAAGATGACACTCAAGAATAAGAATGGATAATTTTCCACTCTCACATTTTGGGTGGCTCGAATTTTCCACTCAGACACCCAAGAGAAATCTGAAGTTTGGGACACTGTTCACCAGAAGTGAACGTGTACATAACTTATGAGATGATTTGGCGCTGAAATATTGGCGCCCAGTGGCCCTGACAAGAGGCGCCCAGGATCAGTATGTACAGTGACACAACACGATTGGATATATCGGTGCGGAGCGTACTGAAACGACGTTATTCGACTGATTTTTGCATCCTAGTCCTAGTATGCGGCACTCCGATGAGTTGCGAATTGAAAATTGGCGCCACTGCGCCTTCGGCGCAGTGGCGCCAGTTTTCCTTGGGTGGGGGCTGCCAGCCCCCGCAGCCCCCCCCCTGGATCCGCCACTGATATCAGGGTTGCGCAGTGCGCTTGGGCTTTTCAGTCAATTATTTTCCATGCGACACCAATAGGCTTAATGATCATTTTCAGAGACGTTGGGGTTGCTGCTACAACCCCCTTTTGGGGTTCCTGCTACAACCCACTTTATATGTATATAAAGTTGCACTCGTGCTGTTCACAATTCCTCCCGATCCACCGAACAACGCCCGATCCCGTCCGACCGCTTCCGAATCTCCGGCTAGTCGGCGAGCGATCCACTCACGGCCGTAAGTTATCGTCCAAAGTTTTATAATCTACGTCAATATTGTGTGCATACTTGTGCCACGGAATATATAGTCTACGACATGTCGATATGTCGATATGTACTACGATATGTCGTAGACTAAAATTCCGTGCTTGTGCGATTTTTTTTTGTGCACCGCGGGAGTATCACCACTGAGAGGGTTGTGGGTCCCTACAGCTACTCTCTCCTCTCTCTCTCTCTCTGAAGAGTCGGGGGGGGGGGGGGGGGGTCGAGCCCCGTTTTTTTTTACATTTTTTGAATGCCATCCTGACGTTTTTTGCAGAATTAAGTGGCCGAAATCTGGGGAGAAATCGGAAATTGGGGGGGGCATGGCTACGAAGGTCAGTCCATGTCGCTGCCCAAGTGGCCCACCAGTCAAAATTCCTTAGCCGAGGCCCTGGAATGAATCCAAGTTAAGTTCGCTGATTTGCGACCAAGAATCCTCACTCTCAGAGCTCCAAAAGATAACAGGTGAGCTAGGAGAGCAGGCGAGTGAGCTATTAGATGTAGTAGAGGCCATCTGGGAAGAGAAGAACAGCGGTGAAGTAGAATCAGGACCACTATGGGACATGTTTCATGGAGTAGAACTTAGAAGCCAGCATTCAAGATTCCGTCAGCATGGCAAACAAGTATATCCGCAAGAAACTGTTAGGAAACCTGTATTGTGAGGAAACAAGTGCGAGCAGTGAAGCGAGTGAACAGCCGAGCACGCAAAAGAAAATGAAGCAAAGGACAAGGAAAACACGAACCGATCCCAAGATGCGACGGATTCGTCCATCAAGGGTATAAAGCCGCCAGAACTGCCTATATTCGATGGCAGAAAGGGTTACAGTGACTGGAGGGCGGTATTCGATGCTTTCGTCGGCAACTCGAACGCGTCGGCTGAGCTCAAGATGGTCTACCTCAAGAACAGTTTGACCGGCGAGCCCCTACAAATGGTAGAACGATATGGGTTGTCGAAAGCTGGTTATGAGAAAGCTAGAGAAGAGTTGGAAAGAAAGTATGGTGGTCATGCCAGGCGAGTGCGAGCAGAGATAGCCAGCATTCGCAGCTTCCCCAAGATAGGTGAAAACGATACAAAGATGCTTGAAGAGTACTCAAATAAGGTGACAAGTCTCGTCACCAGTCTGAAGGAAAATGGATCAGACGGAGATCTTTCGGAAGTATCAGCATTTTATATGCTTGTGTCTGAAAAAGTTCACCACTCCTACATCAAGAACTATCAAAGGTGGCTAAGCACGACGAGTCAACAAGACAGCTTCGAAACATTTTCAAAGTGGCTAGCTGAAGAAGTCATGCTGGAAAAAAGAGCCAAGGAAGCAACAGCAGCCAGTAGCGAGCAGGATGAGCCAAGACCTAGAATGCATAGCCGCGGAACAAAGAAGACGTACGCTGTCACAAGGCAGGCCAGCCGGCATGTCTTCAGTCGGCTGAAATGTGCAGTGTGTCACGCAGAACACGCGACTGAAGATTGCGCTGAACTACAGAACTGGGATGTTGCTAGAAGATATGCATTCTGCAAAACCGAAGGATTGTGCTTTAGATGTATGCGTGGCAAGCACAGGGGAACTAACTGCCGCAGGTTTCCCGGCTGTGCTGTTGAGGGCTGTGGTGGCACTCATCACAGCCTCCTGCATGCCAGTGGAGGTGGAAACTCTCGAAACTCACCTGAAGTAGCCCGACCGTCTTACAGGACTCCGACACTCAGCAGCCAGGCCAAGGAATTCATTCCGAGAACGGTCGAGGGCCGCGCTTGTGCTAAAGAAGATAGTGCTCCAACAAGCAGTGCACAGGTGTCCGCGGCTCCCGGTGCAAGTTTTAATACCGCTGCCCAGAGACAAGAGAAGCGAAGTGGAAAAGTCGCGTTTCAGACGGCCCCGGTATTAGTGCACTGTCAGGATCGATTTCTGAAGCTGAACGCACTCTTAGATCCCTGCTCTGACGCCAGTTACATAAGTAAAGCTGCTGCAGACGAGCTCGGACTACAAGGAGAAGAAGTCAAATTTGAGCTTGGGACGGTCAATGGCAAGACGGATGTGAAAATGACGTCAGGAGCTGTCCGGATAGCCTCTACCCAGAGTAGGTTTGAAACGTCCTTAGATGTTCACGTCATTCCCAGTCTGGAAGGAGCCTCCGTATGTACGAGCTGGCAGGATGTGAAGCAGCGTTGGCCACACATGGTAGACATCCCCTTTCCAAAGATGGCTGGAAGAGAAGTGGACCTACTGATCGGTCTTAGCCCTGAGACAATGCCCATCTTTGTGCCTCTGAAGACTGTCTCCGGCGAGAGTTCGAGCCCAGTCGCTGTCCTAACGCCACTTGGATGGACAGCATTCGGCTGCGTTCAAGACAATGAAGATCCTTCTAACCTACAAAAGCTGAAGAGCATGACAAACGTCGCAAGAACCTTGAGAACTTGCCTGACAGATAAGTCACTAAACGAAGAAATTCAAGCAATGAGAGCGATGACAGATCTGGAGGTGCTGGACGTCAAGACCACCGAGACCAATCTTCTGTCAGCTGAAGAAAAAGTGGCTATGAAGAAAGCTGCAAGTTCATTGAAGAAACAAGGAAGTAGATATCAAGTTGCAGTACCATGGCGAGAAAACGAACCGCAGCTGAAAAGCAACTACGAATCTGCGCTGATTCGCCTAGTGAAGCTGGAAAATTCTCTTCATCGTCGGGGAGCTCATCTTGCTGCAAAGTATAACGACATTCTTGAAGAGTACGTGAAGAAAGGTTATATGACCAAAACTCCCACGGCGCAGAGATCAAACAGTGGAGAGGATGAGTGGTTCCTTCCACACTTTCCCGTCATTCGAGAGGACAAGGCGTCATCCAAGATCCGAATCGTGTACGACGCAGCGGCCAAAAGTGAGGGAATCAGTCTCAACCTCACAGCTCCTTCCGGGACCATCGCTTTACAGCGACCT